TGTGCGCTCCCACTACCCCCCCCCCCCCCCCCCGGCTGCAGGAAGTACTAATCTATACATAGGAGGATGTGATATCACTGGCAGCTAAATACAAGGATTGCAAGAAAAGTAAAAACTTTTAAGATAAATTGTTACAGCAGCTTGCTTCCTCTGACTGACAGGAACCTAAATATATAAAGTGATGTGCATCCTGGAGTTCTTCTTTAACTCCTGAGTTTAGTGTCACTTTAATAAACAAGAGTGCACATGTGAAAGTATACTTTGCTATGTGGGGACAATTAGGAGAGACACTGGGAGACTCTTGGTTATTGAGCTCCAAGTGAGCTTGTTATGACTAAATAATAAGAGCGTTTTTTGGAAATTCTCAGAGTTTTGGATGTCTAGAGGGTTATATATGTGGGTTTGGCTGGTATTCATTAATGAGGGGTATGTCAAATGTTATTTAGCTTCTTGCATAAATGGTCAAGATGGTGTGTATACTGAAGTGTAAACAGTTTAGCACTCCTCTTAGCTGTGGCACGTTTAATAAACATGTGTAATACTAGGGATGCACCGATACCGATACTAGTATTGGTATCGTTGCTGATACCGAGTATTTGGGCGAGTATTCGTACTTGCCCAAATGCTCTGATACTTCCCCCAATACCAGAACTTCCGGTCAGAGGCAGTTTTCCTCTGACCGGCAGTGCCATGAGGGAACATGGAATCAACTTGTCTGGCCAATCAGGAAGCCGGGCGGTTGGTAATGTCTCGCCGCCCGGCTCCCTGATTGGCCGGGAAGCCTGCCTCCCAGCCAATCAGCATTGAGCTGGTCAAACAGCATGGAGCCGGCTTCCTGATTGGCCGGAGAGCTGGCTCCATGCTGTTTTCCTGGCCAAACAGCCAACTCGATGCTAATCAGCATGTCACTACCCACCGCCTGCTTTCTTGATTGCCTGGGAAGCCTGCTCCATGCTAGATGAAGTACCGATATCGTTACTCGGTATCGGCGAGTATGGAAATACAAATCTCGGCACTCATACTCGATACTGAAAAACTTATATCGGTGCATCCCTAGCTTATACTATCAACACGCAAGACAGTGGTCTAGATTATTATACAACACAGACATATAGAAGTACATGTATGTACAGGCTATGAGTACAGTTTACTTCCTGGAACACATGCAGCTGCCAATCTCTGCTTACTCTGTCCTTTCTTTCAGTGAGCTCCACTCCTGGATATCATAAACTGGCACCATACAGACCACCGGGGCAGCTGATCTCTCCATCTATGTTGTTGTCAGTGGTGTACAACGTTTTCTTTACAATAGCCATGCAGACGTATGCATTTCTTATAGTTCAGCAGCAGCCATGGTACAGCACCGATGATGTTTTTAGGTAATGTTTTGACTTCATATTTATATATTAAATAATAAAATAGATTCTAACAGTAATTTATGTATAGTAACCATTTATGTATAATAACCAGCACCCTTATATTTCTGTAAATAAAAGTAATTCACTGGCACACACTTGAAGGGTTTTTTAAAATATTGATATGTTTATTGAATACCCAATGTCACATACTGTCATGCGGTGTCACCGTATGACAGTATGTGACATTGGGTATTTAATAAACATATCAATATTTTAAAAACCCTTTAAGTATGTGCCGGTGAATTACTTTGTGGTTTTGAGACCGTGGCAGTGCGCATGGGATTTGGACTTTGTCCTTATATTTCTGTGTCCTGACATACACATGTGTTTAACATAAGTAAGCCATACAGTGTATATATATAAGAGCTGAATTAAACATTTAAGGAGGAAAGTGGACAAAAATATTATGTATATTTAAAGAGTTGAGTGATTATCAGAGTTCAACACTGAGTTAAGGACCAGTTCTGCCCTCTTTGAAACCCAACATTTAAAGCTAAACTCTTTGAAACCCAACATTTAAAGCAGATATAAAATACACAAATTAATTCAGCTATGCAATTAATAATGCATTCATTTTTTTAATGCAAGCAGTCTAAGGACCTAAATGTGGCTTGGTATTAGCATCTTGAAATCCCTGCACAGCAGGGCTCAGACTAAAGAAGAGAGAAGCAGTACAAGGAGCCAATCAAGTGTGCTGCAGTACAAGAATCATGATGATAGAGCAGAGTGACAGGTAGATAGACACATCAGTATTCTGGTTCTACAGTCACTTTCAAGTCACAGGATGGAAAAGACCTGCATGTGAAAGTGAAACTGCAGCAGAGAAAGATTAGGTCCCCTCAGAAATGTCAGAATTAGACAAAAATACAAATCTTTTGGTAAGGTTAAACCAGGGGCGTAACTAGAAATCACAGGGCCCCATAGCAAAGTTTTGCATGG